ATTATGTAACGATGCTGTGATGTCATAGGCCCTTCGGGCATGCGCAGTAGAATGAAAGGGTATCCCGGATGTCGTTGTTGTTGTATTACGCCTAGTAATGGCGGGCTTTTATGAGACGTATTAAAAACCGTTGTGTTGCCATTGTTCTTGTACTCGTTTGGACTACGCTACATGGTGTCAGGAGTGAAACACACATTACACTGCCGCTCGTTGGCCCGGCCGAAAGCCAACTTGGTGAGTTTATTGAAGTAATTTCTCTGAATTATCTCAGCGATATTTCGGAACAAGTAAGATGCCTACGACGGGTGAAGAAAGTGGTGGCGCTTCTTCCGGTACACCACCCTCGATGATAACTGTTCCGGTAAACATACCGCTTCCAGAAAGGATGGATTTCAGCGGTGGAAACCTTCCCGTCAAGTGGCAAAGATTCTGTCGAGCGTGGTCAAATTACGAAATCGCCGCTCAACTGAAAGACCCCGCAAACCCGGCCAGAAATAAGGAGCGACGGACAGCCACGTTACTTACATGTATCGGTTCTGATGCATTAGACGTAATTGATGCCGTGGAGTTCGAAAACGAAGACCAAAGAAAAGACCCAGAAGTGATCCTAGAAAAAATGAAAGACTACTGCATTGGGGACTGCAATGAGAGCTATGAAAGATATGTGTTCAACCGCCGGGACCAAGAGGCAAACGAATCGGTTGATGCGTATGTCACCGCATTACGAAAATTAGCGAAGACTTGCAACTATGGGTCACTCACAGACTCGCTTATTCGTGATAGAATGGTGGTGGGCATTAATGACAATTCCGCTCGTAAGAAGCTCCTGCAGACAAACAAGCTCACATTAGGACAATGCATAGACATCTGCAAGGCAGCTGAAAGAGATAAATCAAGAGGATGTCCGTTGAGTGAAGGACAATAAAAAAAAACAGTTGACGAAAGGAACGCAAAGGTTCCAGAGAAGAGCCAAAACGAGCCACACGAACGCAAATGCAAGTTTTGTTCCAGATATCACCCTTTCACTAAGAAGAACTGCCCTGCATAGGGAACATCTTGCAAGAATTGTGGCAAGCTAAATCATTTTGCGGTATGTTGCCAAGAATCTAGGAAGAAAGTGCTGTCTGTGGACTACACATCCGAAGACGAGGAGTACGAATATGTGGCCGAGATAGAAGTGAAAGAGCAGGTTAATGCACTAGCCTCTAGCCTCTAATCACTCCCCCAACAAACTGATTGCCACTCTACTAATCAATGGAACCCAGGAAAAGTTTCAGTTAAACAGTGGATCAACAGTAAACATCATGACGGATGAGACCGTGTTAAAGCTCTGTAGCCAAGACGGCTTGAGTGACTTGGAAATTACCCCTGCGACCCTGGTAATATACAACCAGTCTGAGGTCAAACCCTTGGGCAAGAAACGATTCAAAGTCGTCAAGCCCAAGAACAACAAGAAATACAACATCGAGTTTCATCTCGTTCGTGGGAAGTGTAAATCCATTTTGGGCTTGAGGACCAGCGAACACCTTATAGTCTCATAGTCTTCATAAAACTAATGGCAAGTGCAAGTTACAACAATTACAAACAAACTTGGAAGTAAGGAGCAAAGTTAATCCACCCAAATTGGTAAAAAAATGCACAAGTGGCAAGAGCACGTGTTTTCTCGTCGACACTGATATCAAACCAGGAACGGAGGAAGACACTGTAAACGGAAATATCCTTGACAAGGCGTGTGCAGACTTAAAGAAAATAAGCTCTTGTCAATCAGAGTTGTGTAAAAACAAGAACCTTCTGCGGAGTTCCAAGATCAAGATGCTAAATCTCCTTACTCACTAGCATTCATTTCTTGGAAGGTTAGTTCTGAGAGTTTTAAATCGGTTTGAAATCCCCGAGTTCATTATGATGTCAAGAGAAAGAAGATTCTTAACACTCCGAGTATGAGGTGAAATCATGACAAATTGGACTAAAACTACAGTAACAGATGCAGTAAAAACTTCAGTTTCGGTTATGTGCAAAACGCTTTGCAGGATCAGAGGGAACAAATGTGAAAACACACCATCGATAAAAATGACAAAAAAGTGTACACAAACAACAAAAATTTGTACGTTTTTCTTGTCAATCTTTTGTCCGACGTTGCTAAAAGCCCCTCTATTAGCGCATCTCTGGTTGCGAAATAATTTTTTATTTGCTGTTCCTCAGTTCGAGTTTTTTTGCTTATGACTTCACGGTGGATGGAAACTCAGAAACTGCGAGATTTAGGCGCTTAAGAGAAAACCATATCTCGATAGACGAATTGCTTAGTCAAGCTTTCCACAAAGTTAACCTTGACCTCGATCAGCCGGCACCTATTTATTGGCTGTTGCGGGTGCATTTGTGGAAGCTGCGTAAACGAAGCGTGAAAGTATACAGAAACAATAAGTCACAACATGTCTGGAATTTATCCATATGTAATTTCTGAGTTTCCTCTGACATTTCACGACATTGCATTGTTTTAAAATTTACGATTTTTAGTTTTTTTATGGACCCTCGACATTTTTCTCGGACCCTCAACCCTCGACATTTTACCCTCGACCCTCGACCAAAACCCAAACTCAAAGAGAACAATAGCCTAGCTAAGTGAATAAGAAACATGAGTAAAAATAAAAATCTAATTGAAAGCTAGATTAAAAAAATGAGTTTTGATAGCAGTTTTGAAAGTGTCCAATGTCTTTATGTTACGAATTGTCGAAGGTAATTCATTCCAAAGATGAGGTGCAGCTGATTGGAAGGCACGATCACCAAGGGTTGGACGGGTCCTGGTGCTTGATAATTCGAGTAATAAAGACTCGTTTGACCTAAGAGAGTACCTGGATCGCTTTTTGATGCTAATTAAATCAGTCAAATAGTTAGGGGTTAGACCATATAAACAGTTAAATTTCAAAAGAAGAATCTTAAACTTTATACGGTAACTAATCGGGAGCCAATGAAGGTGGAAAAGTAGTGGTGTAACATCGCAGTATTTT